GGTGCCCAACCTGGGCATCCAAGCAGATGGTACTCCCCCCACCCCCGACTGTGTTCTGCACCCTGCCGTGACCTGTGTGTGACCGCACGTTGTCATCAGTGCCCGCGTGCGTGTGCCCAGTGTGCATGTGCACTTGCGGGATTGCACACGTGCGTGCATCTGTGGAACCACGCCTCTCTGCTGGCTGCTCTGCGCCTGTGAGCTCAGGGTCCTCAGGTCCCACCCCCATCCATGCAAGATTCACACCATCTGGGGAGAGAATGCGGAGGAGGTGGCAGTGGTGCGTGCAGAGCTCCGTGGAAGTGTCAGAGCACCCGGCAGGACAGCGCATCCACTCAACTTCCTCTCCCTCACTGGAAAATATTAAAAGTCTGCATTTTATAAAGAACATTTTAAGGCAGCCTTAGTGGTTGCACCCCTGTAATCCCAGCACTCTAGGAGGCTGAGGCAGCAGGATCAAAAGTTTAAGCCTATCTTGTGCAATTTAGGGGGTCTTAGCAGCACACTGGAGAGTGGGGTGGGAGAGAGAGGGGCCAGACAACATTTTTCTGTAAAGACCCAAATCTGAAGTGGCCTTAAACCCCGGCACCTGCCCCACACCCTGCAGGAGCCAGTTGAGTTCCCGTTTCCCTGGATTCACCCTTCATCTGAGTGGGAGCCAGTCCAGCATCACTTGGGACTCAGGCCTGAGACTTCCAGCAGTCAGGCCAGGAGACAAAGCTCACTGGGGGAGGCACCCAGGGTGCAGGATGAGCTACAGTGGCCCAGAAAACTCTGCACCGTGGGGAGCCCACCCTGCTGTCTTGCAGTGTTCCTGGCTGGTGGCCCTACCTTAGGCTTCCAAAAGTGGGTGAGGGGGGCACCCTCCCCAGGGAGAGTCCAGATCCCCAGCAAGCAGGAGGCCTCTGCGGGATTGCTGTGGAGCCCCTGAGCCCTCCAGTCACAAGCCCTCTGGGCTCAGCATTTGCCGATGTGCACCACCACTGGGGGTCATCTGCAGAGCCCTGTCCTGGGTGGGGTGGGGCCTATGCATCTGGATTTGTGGAGCGCCCGGGGCAGTCGCATGAGTCATGGGTGTTGGGCCCCAGCTTGGAAACCGTGGCTTCGGGGAAAGGTGGGAGGGTGAGAGTGTGGGCATTCCATATGTGTCAGGGTTCTGCTGGCTGTGGAGTGCCTGGGCTTGGAGAACGCCTGGCCAGGGAAGGCTTTGCATGGTTTGTATCTGGGTGTCCCTCAAAGCCTTATGCATGCAAAGAAAGGGACCTTGGCAAAGTGATTGGGTGGGGGTTCATAGCCTACGGCTCTGAGGTGGGGTCACTGGGGTGCGGTCTGGAGGGGCCCATCTCCCTCCAGCTCCTCGCTCCATCTCTGTGCTTCCCGTTCCCCATGATGTGAGCACCTCTCCTCCGCCAGGCCTCACTGTGGTGCAGTCCACCTTGGGCCAACTGTGGACTGAAATGTGAGCAAAATAACCCTCTCCTTTTAGGTGGTACTGAGAAAACTGACAAAGGCAGAGTCCCACCCAGCACTATGGGTGTGCACATGATAGTTAGATTTGAGTGTGCATAGAAGTGTGTAGGTATAGATGTACAGCTTTCTATCATTGAAAGTGACTTATGGATGATGTGCAGTGTGTTGCTTCAGTAGTTTTTAAAAATCCGAATAGAATTGCAGAGAACAGGAAGTGTGAGCAGTGCCTAGGTGAAAAGCAGTCACAGATCTTGTGGTGAAGCTCATTTTCTATTGTTGTGGGTCTGACACCAAATGTAAAGGGGAAATGCACAAGGAACAAATACAACTTGCAAAGCAAATTTAATGCAAATGTAAATTGAACCTAAATTTAAATTAAATGCACACATAAAAGGACAAATGTAAAATTGGTACGGACTTCTGACACAGGTGGTGCAAGTGAGATGCCCCAGACGTGGCTGTGCGCATGCGCTTGTGAGGTCCTCCCGGCCTCCTTCCTCCCTTCACTCCCTGCCTTGTCTGCCACTCCTGCCCCACCTGCAGTTGGCCCCATGGTCAGTGCATCGCAGCAGCTCCACCCCTTAAGCAGGTGCTACAGGAGGCTGAGGGGAGGCCGCTCACGCTGCAGTGGCCTGGGCAGGGGCAGCCATCAGCTGTGCCTGCAGGTGTGAGTAAAGCACAGCAGGCAGGTGGTGCGCAAGATGCCACTTGAGGCCAGGGCAGCCTTCTCCTCTCTGCTGGCCGGCCTCTCAGTCCCTGTTCTGAACCTGCACTGTGTCAGCCTGGCAGCTCCTCAGGCTCCTCACGCTTTAGCTCAGTGCACGCTAACTGCAGAAGTCTTCAGAGGACGGCTGGCTCTGCAATGTTCCCACAAACGTCGTTGTCAGTTCCTTCAGGGTCCGGTAAAGCACCTGTGCGACTGCTTGGTGGGATTTAACGTGTGGAGGGAACTTTCTGTCTGCTCACTGAGTGTGGATTGCTGTTAATGGTCTGTTGTGTTTCTTTTTTCTTCTTGAGCCAGTTTTTTTCATCAAAACTCTCAGTCACTTTAGAATATTTGGCCTGCACACTTGTTAGTAGTCACTCATTAACTGTAATTAATTAAGTTTAGTCATCTGCTTAGTGAGGCTCCCCCGGGAGGTCTCTTTCTTGGTTAACCTGTAACTCAGGGGGGAAGCCAAACACTGAACAGATACATTCAATAGTTTGCTGTTAACATATTAAAAAGAATAGAAAAATAGAAGGGGTGGTGTGAATTCTTACTGTACATCGTATTTATTTTTGGATTTTAGGGGTTTTTTTTAAACAAATACAGCTATTACATGGACTACTTTGGGATAACTTTGCCAACAGATGATAATACATTTCAGTGAAAATATAAGGTCTTTCCTATTTATTACTTATGTTTGTAGTTTTTTTTATTGGAACTTAGTTTTTCAGATATATAATCCACAATATGTACATCATGTAAAGGTACAAGATCCCAATGATGAATGTATCGTATACCTAAAAGTTTCCAATAAACCTAATGAAAAAATATAATGTACAATACATAATATTATATATATATAGTTTTGAGCATATCCAACCTCCATTCCCCTTCCTTATAATCCCCTAACCTTCCTTTGATCCCTTGCTAATAATTTTCCTTCTACTTTCAGGTCGTCTTTCTGTTTTTGTTTCATATAAGATTCTACATATTGGGGAAAACGTGCAATACTTGTCTTTCTGAGTCTACCAAATTCGAGTTATTTGGCTGAACAGGATGGAAAGTCCCATCCACTTTCCTGCTCTTGACATGGTTTCATTCTGACTTCGGCCTTGCGTTGGTCATTCTCATCTGCCTTGCCTTCGTTGTGAAATCAGTTTTTCCCGGTATGACATTCTTAACCGGGGACTGTGTCTTAGCACGTCAGTGTGTTTGGGGTACACCTCCTCCCACCTCCTCCACTCTACCCCCAGCCCCAGTGAAACCCCTGACACTGGGTGTTGGATTCCACTGGACATGTCCTAGGGTTGTCCAGACCCCTCCAGCGTCTGTGTTCTGTTTCATCTGAGTTGGAAACGGATCTTCCACGTGCTCTGTTTTCCATAGTCGCCATCTGCTGCATCCATAGGTCTTTCTCCACTTGCATTTCCTGCTGTTCTTAAACTTCCCTTAAAGTTCTTTTTTGGATTCTTCAGAGTGCTTGTAGCACTCTATTTATGCAGCTCTCTCTCTCTGCAAGTTTAGTTCCAATGGCCACTAAGCATTTTCTAAAACGAGCAAATCGTTCTCTGTATATTTTCACCTCCACTTTCTTTTGCTATTTCTTCCTGCCTCTGTGCTCAGCTTTCAGTAAGTGCAACTCATCGAGAAGACGAACTTGTCCGAGGAATGAAGGAGGGAGGCGCTGCCCAAGATTCATGCAGAACAGAGCTGAAGTGGAAATGGCCCCGGGGCGGGCGATGGGGACAAATGCTGCACACTGGACAGTTTATTTCTGCTGCCTGCTTTCCTCAAAACTCAACGTGGGATGCAAACTGCAAGCCACAGTACTTTTCTCTCTGAAGCTTCACTGCTGGGATCTTGATCCCCTTTGGCAGAGAAGCAGTCTGGTGGGGAATGAGTTCAGGATTTTATCAGCGACCCATCTCACTCTCCAGATAATCCTCATAGGATTCTCCCATGCCTTTGACCTTGTATTTTTTGGGACCTGTCTGGCTGTGTAATTTGTCATCAGTTCTGCCCAGAACATCTTGAACTCTTTTGAACTCTATGCTCAGTTCTTTTTTACAGCAGCTTTGGAAAGATCTACATATTTATGTGTTTATTATTGAAGAGATGTACTATTAAATGGGAAGCAGAGTCCTTCACCTTAAAGAACACAAACTGAACTGAGATTTTAGATAGCTGCTGCATTTTAGTTACTTTCTCATCATTGGACCCTATACCAGACACCCACAGCTCAAGGAGAAAAGGTTTATTTGGCACACAGTGTGTAGAGGCTTCAGGTCATAGTCAGCTGGCTCCAATGCAGGGTGGCCATGCAGAGGAGAAACAGAGGAGAAACAGTCCATGGAGGGGGGCACAAAGCAGAGAGAGAAACGGGAGAGGGAGGGAAGATGACCTTCCTGGTCAAAGCCCCGGGGACTGGCCTCCTCCAAGCAGGCTTTGCCTTCCAACAGCAGGTCTAGCTGTGAACTCACCAGTGCAATGACCACTGTGAGCATCTGCCCCTGGGATCCAGTCACCTCTCAAAGCCCCACAGTGAGCGCATGAGGCTTTGGGGACATCTAGACATGAACCATCACATCATTAAACTCTAAAAGGACAAAGGCAACTATTGAAAGAATATCATATAGGCACATGTATAACTAAATAGGGTGAATAAGATTATATGTGGCATGGCTAGGGATTTAGCTCAGTGGGGCTGCTGCCTGCCTCCAAGCACAAGGTTCTGAGTTCAATCCCTGGTACAAAAAAACTTATATGTGGCACTTTCCATAACAATTATAAGGAAAAGAAAGAGAAAATAGAGCAAAATAGTGGAGTTAAATTCTACCAAAATTCTCTCTTCCTTAGAGGGTCTGTTCATACCGTTAAATTCATAAACTTGAAAACTGGGGAAATGAGTTAAATCCTTTTTAAAAGTTAAAAGTAAATACTGGTGGTGAAAATAAACAATATACAGGAAGAGAAAAGTGAAAATATTTGAGTGGTTGAGAAAGAAAAATGTAGAGAGTAGTGAGAGAGAGGTGCACATCGAAAGGCACAAGTGTGAACAGAGATGGATAAACATCGTGTAACCTCCCACTTGTAACAGGTTAGATGTAGTGCTTACAAAACCAGGTCTTAAATTTTGTTTGAAAAGTGAAATGTAATTGTATATTCAAACAGACTTACTTGGAAGGAATTTAAATATTCCATTAAGGAAATTTTTAAAATAATATTAAATCGAGTTAAAATATTTGTCAGGAAAAGACAATAAAATGGAAATCAGGGTATGACCCTGAACACATTTCTTAATTTCCAAAAGTCTTTATGTTCCTACCTGTGTCATGGGCAGGATAAAAACAGAAGCTACATCCCAGTGAATTCATATAGGGATGGATTATGTTAAAATTTACATAAGGGATAGAAGTGCATATAGGACATAAAAGCTGTTATACAAATTTAAAATAATTTTAAGTACAAATTTAATAAAACAAATGTGAAAAAATTGTTGGGAACATCAGCCCAGTAATAATTGAATTTAGCACGGATTCACTTTTCCCTAAGGATTGCTTCCTAATCTAGTTGATTTCCAGAGGAAAGAGTCCCAGTGGCCCTTGCAGGTGAGGACTATATCTCTTGAGCAGTCTAGCCTTCCTGTGGCTGAAGAGCAAGCCCTGCTCAGCAGACCCGGGGTGACAGGTCTGACTTGTCTCTCCCAGGTGCGCCTCCCTGTGAATGCCTGGAAGGGTGGAAATGCTGCCCATTGGAGCCACAACTATGGGAACAATAACCCAGGCTCATACTGCACAGCCACCCAGGAAAGGCCTGGGTGATTCCCAGAGACCGAGCCTGTCTCCCGTGATGGTGAGTTCTCATGTGAGCCGTGGAACTGCGCTGGGACAGAGCTGGAGGAAAGCGTGACGGATATCACATCACTACAACCAGTTTTGAGCAACTGAATTCAGCTGTTTCCAGGAGATAAATAAAAGTCGAGTACCTGAATTCTGAAATTCCAAGTTAGGAAGCAGACTATGCTATTTCACAGACTCAGATCAGACTATTTCTAATTGCTTTATTTTTGCTTCTTTCATGAGGAAAGTTCATTGTCTACACCGTGACTAGGAAAATCAGCGCCTGATAACTAAGCCATTATTTCTTGTGAGAAATTGAAAGTCAGATTTTGACACTCCAAAGACTAAAACAAAAGTTTCTCAGACTCTCCACCTCACTGTACCTGTGGCCTCAAAAGAATTTGATTCTGGTTTCATGCTGAGATGTTCTTTTAACTCTGATGCATGCACAAACCTTATAATGTCCTGTAATGAAACCAGGGTTTGAAGTAAATATGTAGTAGTTAAAACACAGTAAGTCATTTTTAATGTGGACCATGCATTTTTTAAATGCTGTCTCTCAAGTGTGTGACATACCCTGCTTGGCAGGGGCAGACCCTCCCTCTGGGAATCACTAATTTAGACATTTTGGAAAGCTCAAGCACCTGGAAAGTTAGTGCTGTTGATCAGGCTGTCCTGGCCATTGTTGTCCTTGTTCTTTTTTTCTGCCTTTTGCAAGTCATGAGTTTGATCTCCTATGCCTTTCTTAGGGTGGCTACCCTACTATCCCATAACTCCTCACCCTGCATTCCTGTCTTTATCATTCCTCTACTACTTGGTCTCATATCACCATGGTTGGCTCCTGCTGTGGTTTAGACCTAAGAGGCCCCCACACCCTTCTGTGTCTAGAAGGTGAGTGGACTGCGGGGCACTGTGCCTAGTGTGCTGTCGGGAGGCAGGTCTGGCTGGAGGAGATGTGTCACTGGTTTACCTGGAAGGGCCTGTCTCCCTCCCCAGCCTCTCCCTTGGTCTTTCTGCTTCCCAATCCCCATGCCTTAGCAGCTCTCCTCTGCCCAGGGCCATCCACATGCCTTCTGGCCATGGAGACAGTCAACTATGGATGAAAATGGAGCCAAAATAAACCTCTCCTCTTCTGAGTTATGAGTGCTGAGAATGGAATCCCCAAGATAGTGACTTCCCATCACCCCAACCCTCCAGCAGCAATGCTATTTCACAGCCTGTGCCTCTTGGGTTCAGAATGATCAACCTGTGGCAGGTAAGCACCCCTGGTTGGTGCAAAGTCTACAAGCCTGTTCCCTAGCCCCTGTTTTGATATTCAGATAACCCGTGGCTCTGGATCAGTAATGGAGGAGACCGCAGCTTCCAGCCCATTCTCCAGCATTCTGCACACTGCCTTATGATAGGATGGTGGAGACCCAGCCTGTACTGGGGATTTCAATGTACAGATGGCTGGGAGAATGACACTGTTTTGCACAGACACAGGCTGGCATGGAAGAAGCTATCTCCCTAGTGGGACACAGATCTGCGAACATTTCAGCTCCATGTTTTCTCTCACCTACATGCTCAGCAGTGAGCTCAAAGAAGAGCACTTCACGTTGGGCTTGTGGTCACTGAGCCTGTGGTTGTTGCAGGACAGTGCCAGATGACTCTGTCTGCTGCTAAAAGTGATTACTGGCATCCACACTGAGTCCCCAGTGATGCTTGCCTGAGCAGTTAATCTGGGGTATCATTTTGGTTGTCTCGAGAGCCTCCTTGGGGATTAATTAGTACAGCACACTATTGGGTGTGCCTGGGTGGGTCACGGACACGTCAACTTGGAGGCTACCTCTGGTTCCCGCATCTTCTTCTCTGATGGATCTCCCTCATTCCTTTCTGGGTTCCAGGAGGTGAGCAGTTCTCCTCCACCCCACCCTTCCACCATGATGTTCCTGCTTTGGAGTCAGCCAGCCATGGACTGCATCCTCTGAAGTCATGAGCCACAGCAGCCTCTCCTCCTTTAAGTTGTGGGTGTTGGTATTGTGTCCCAGCAGCAGAAAATTGACAGGTAGACCCACTAATTAAATTTTCTCTGTGCTCATCAAGGTCCAATCAGGAGTCAGAAACCACCCTGTTATTTGAACACATGACGTTTAATATAAGGAATAATTAAATTCTAATGGAGAAACTCGAGATGTGAAGAGAACTCTACTCATTCACCTTGTGCCCAAGGTGAGGCCAAGGAAGGGTCCAAGTTCTCACCTCCTCACAGAGGACATGGGTACAGCCTACTGGGGTCCAGGGTCTGTAGCACTGTCCAGACCAAGGTGCTGGCCCTGCACTTGAGCAGGTCCCATTGCTGTGGGTCTGTTCATCAGTCCTTCTGGCAGCCCTGTGTGGGAGATGCTGTGTCCTATGCCTCCCTGAACTGAAGTCATGAGGTGTCATTCTAATTTGTAGCATTGTCACTTCACCACATAGTTCCCACATCTGTCCTTTCTCCGTGCAGAAACAGTGAGCAATCTCAGTGCCACCAGGAGGCCTGCAGTGGGTGCAAAGGGGTTGTTGTGAGTTCAGCTGGTGTGTAATGTGCCCATCCTCCTGAGTGTCACTCAGAACCACAAGGAGAGGGGCACAGTGTGGCTTGGCCTGGCTCTGTCCTTGGGCTGCCCCACCTTAGGGTTCAGGGGCTTTGGAGCAGCTGGCTTGGGAGAGGATCCTGGCTCTGGGACTCCCTGTGTGCTGGCAAGTGGCCCTACTTCTGTGGACTCCGGTTTCCTTCTGTCTAAGCAGTGGGGATGCTGATGGCAGCAGCATGAGAAGGCTGTGCCAGATTTTCTAGGAGTCCCAATCTGGAGCACTGGATCTATGTTCTGGGGCTGCTGACACAAACAATTATGTGCCTGGTGTTTCCAGACAACAGGCCTGAAAGTAAAGTCCAAAACAAGTAGCCAGGAACTGACGTCCCCCTTTTAAGGGCGACCTGAGGATGAGCTTGTGGTCCACCAAGTTACCTGGGAAAATCCCCCAGCTCAAGAGCTCTTGTCCTAAACAGTGACTTTTACAGCTTCCAAGAAGCAGAATCTGACATCTTGCTACATGTGTGATCACTGTGCTTTTTTTTGTCTGTCCTTCAGGAGATCTGACCCTGAAGAGAAGTGGACCCACATGCCTTAAAGCTGAAAGTGGCTCCTACCTGCCTGTGTCCAGGTGCACTTGCCCTGGGGCACCAGCGCTTTCACCAAATGCTTCATTCGTGACTTAGCACCTGCTTCTGTGCATGGTGCCTGCCTCAGGCCAGCTGCAGTGGCCACTCTGGCAGGCTTGAGGCCATCTACTGGGGTGTAGGGGACCCACTCCAGCTGTGAGCTTGGGCACAGCTGGGAAGCCAGTGCAGGTTCGCAGTCTGCTCCCAGCACAGCCTGCTGCAGTCAGCATGGCAGATCCAAGGGGGCAGGAGACCCAGGGGGTGCAGCCCCCAGGTCTCTTCACATCTCTAGTTTTTCCATTAGAATTTAATTATTCCTTATATTAAATGTCATGTGTTCAAATAACAGGGTGGTTTCTGACTCCTGATTGGACCTTGATGAGCACAGAGAAAATTTAATTAGTGGGTCTACCTGTCAATTTTCTGTTGCTGGGACACAATACCAACACCCACAACTTAAAGGAGGAGAGGCTACTTTGGCTCATGATTTCAGAGGATGCAGTCCATGGCTGGCTGACTCCAAAGCAGGAACATCATGGTGGAAGGGTGGGGTGGAGGAGAGCTGCTCACCTCCTGGAATCCAGAAAGGAATGAGGAAGATCCATCAGAGAAGAAGATGCAGGGACCAGAGGTAGATTTCCCTTTTCCTTCTGAGCCTGGGACTTGGTAAGAGCTGTGCAGATGAGAGCCCAAGTCAGTTTTTTTTTTCTTTTTTTCCAAGTCAGTTTTATTGCTGCAAACCCTGGGTAGGGGCCAATGAGTAGTCAACAGTCCTTGTTCATGCTTATCCCAAAGACTGACTTACTCCCTGCCTCTGTCTCTGTCTCTCTGTCTCACACACACACACACACACACACACACACACACACACACGCGCACACTCGAATGGGGCACCAGCTCCCTAGAGATAACCAGCCCTGGGGAGGGAAGCTCTGGGAGTGCAGGGTCAGTGCCCAGCTGCTTGGCTTCAGCAGCCAAGCCCTCTCATCCTGTCCTGGGGGGTGAAGGGGACCCCAACAGAATAAGACACTACTGAGCTGCTTGTTTCATTTTTAGGTTTGACTAATGTGTGTGCAGTGGAAGTCTAGATGAATCATTGCTTGCTTTGTTTTCTTTTGTTATTATTGACAGCTTGAGAAGATGAAGCCTAAGTCAAGTTTGGATGCAGCACATAAAGAAAAGCACATTTCCGCTGTGCATCGTGGGAGCTGTTGATCCAAGCCAGCTGCACGGGGCACTCTGACAGGTGGTCTGGTGGGGTGGCAGCTCATGTTTACCTGTGCAGTGACAATATTCCCGAGGCCCCTGAAGATGGGCAGGTGTGGATGTGCACCAGGGCAGGTGAGGAAGAGGGGTCCTCTGCTTAAACCATCATGGTCTGCGATCCCTTGGGGCTGCTTTTCTAGAATGTTCTCCTGCGTCTTTGGAGTATTAACAGATGTGGTGGGGATGTGCTCACTGGCATTTTTTCTTTTAAATACTATCTATCTCGTGTATTTGACCCCTGTTGATTTCCCACAGCAAATGCTTGCAAAAGGAATATTCCCAAGGACATATGTTGGGACATTCCATAAATGTCCAGTGGACATTCCCGCGATTCTCAGAGCAAGGGGAGAGGCTGGAAAACAGGATGTATGGAGAGGGCTTTCTTCACAGGAGCCCAACTGGGAGCGGCTGGTGCCTCTCCTCTCAGCTGTCTTCAGAGTGGGCACGTGACTCCCTAACTCTGCAGATGGCTGAGCTGAGTTTCTTCCGCTGCGGCCAAGTCCCTATCTGCGTGGACACGTTGTGTTTCAGCAAGACTCCTCTAGAGCCTTGTTTCTGATGCACTGTAGGAGGGGCGATCAGCATGCACATGTACATTTAAAAATGTATTACAGTGAAAGAATTTCCACGAGTGCCGCAGAATGCTTCTCTCCTCTCTCTCAGAACACACTTCTCCTGCCACTCTTGCCCCTTTCTGAAGCAGTTCTGGAGTCTGCTTTCACAGCTGTCTTTACAGAGCATGGTCAAAAGCACGGCAGATGTTCTTGCTGACAGCGGATAGACAAGCGACTCATAAAATCACGACGCTGCGGCCCTCCTCCACCTTATTCACTGAGTCTGGTACCGTGCAACTTCTGACTCAGGAGAAGAAAATACTTCGAGTTGACTCAGGACATCAAGGCAGCCAGGACAGCGCAACTGGAGACATTTACTAAGGAGCATTTGCAGAGCTGCTTCGGAAAGAGGCCGGAATGACAGGAAGTGTGTGTCCAAAGCAGGAGGGAGTATTCTGAGGGAGAAATGATGGCAACATGTCTTCTACTGTAATTAAAAAATTTCAACACTCACCATATGTGTTAGTCACACACAGCATGTAGCTTAGCGTGAGACAAAATAGAGTTCTGTTTTTGCCGGGGTACCGTTGCGCCTGTTCCGCACACACAATCCTGAGAGTCACCTGCTGCCTCGCTTTCATGTGTCCTTTCAGTTCCACCTTCCGAGTCACCATCTTGCTCACTGTCTCACTTCTGTGCACACACACTTCTGCACTCACTCTTGGTCCTCACTTTGGAGCCGCATGTTGCTGGCTGTGGCGCACTTAAATAAACCAGATTCCTAAACTGCAGCTGACACATTCCCCACAGGTTGGAATCCTGTTAGAACCCTAAAGCTTTTTGATGGAGTTTGTCAGTTATTTTAATTATTTGGCCCAAGTCAGTACATTTTGGATTTCCATGAACCTATTTTAATACTCCAAAGGAATTTTATTAAAGCTCTCAGACTGGGTCTTCGCTTCGATGGGAAGTGCTGGATGTTGCACTGTGAGTGACTGGAGACAGCATATAGTCAGGCCTGGGTTCTGCACTGACACTTCCTGCTCCTCCGCTGCCCCTGACTGGGTGCTCTCTGTTCCCTGCTGGAGGAATTTTCTAGAAAGGTCTGGATATCGCTTTGTCCCAGTCAGGTCTTCCTCTGTGCATCCTTCAAGTCTAGTTGCCTCGCCCAGGCCAGAGGCTTTGGCATCAGTCTAGGCCATTGATGGTGAACCTTTAGGAGCTTTCAATGATACAAACAGCCAGGCGCAGCACAAGGGCCATAAGTTCGCCACCACTGGCCTAGGCTGTGGTGGAGAAGTCCTTTGTCTTCCCATTTTATTGGATTAAAAATCAATGCTTGATCACTGAGAAAAATTTAAATCTGGAGAGAAACCTGCGAAGGGGCCAGGTGGGCCCCAAATCCCTGGCCCTCATATTTTTGGAAAGGGGTCCTCGGCTAAGCAGGCAGTGCAGATGTTATGCTTTGTATCTAGTTGTCCCTGCACAGCCCCATGCACTCAGATTTGGCTCTTTGGGAGCTGTCTGTATCTGGGTGTGATAGGGATTCTCCTCTGATGAGTTTACAGCTGGATGTGGAAAGGAGAGGTGAAGCTTGGCTGGAGGAGGTGGCCCCTGGGCGTGTAATCTAGAAGGGTCGCTCTCCCTCCTCCTCCCTTGAGCTCATAGGCCATAAAGTGCTCTCCTCTGCCAAGCTAAGCTTCCTTGGAGCCAGCTGACTATGGACTGAAACCCCTACACATTGTGAGCCAAAATAACCCTTTTCTCCTTTCAGCTGTGGGTGTCTGGTTTTGTGTCTCCCCTATGACAAAGTAACTAAACCAGCACAGAACCAAAGATTATGCTTAAGACTTAAGGCATGATGTAATTTCCCATGCGTGGCTTTGGATTTGGGGAACCTGTCTCCTCTCTCTGGGCATGGAGGTGTCTGTCTTCTATCTGTCCCTCCACTGTGTTCTGAAAGCTTATAACTTACCTGGTTTCACAGGAATCACACCTTGGAACCCACCTATGTCTGCTTCAGATCATAGTGGGATGAACTTTTAGAAATTCAAGTTTCAACTTGCTGTCAACTTTCCTTAAAGTGTGTTATAGTCTGTGTATCATATTGAATCTCTAAAGTAATCTTTACAGAATGCAAAGTGCTAGTCACTCATAGAAGAACCATGAGATAAACTCTTCTCTCTGGGCAACACTTGACATAGCATTTATTTTCTGTCTTCACTTCTGAAACCTCTTAGAAAGCTCCCTCTGAACTCAACAGCAGTGATGGCACTTGGGACTTTTCTGAGCAGATGGGTTGAGTATGAAGATGTGCAGGGCCCCTCCCAGTGTGCTCTGCACTCTTTCTCGGGAGACTCTGAGTCCTTGCTGCCAGCCACACCCTTCCCTGATGGTGAAAGAACAGAGCAAGCCTGACTGAGGATGACGAGCTACTGCATCTTGGGCAGGCGCTGTGAGTTTTGTGATAGAAGCAAGAATTCTGTGGCAATGACTGAAGCCAGTAAACTTAGAATCTGTTTGCACGGGCACCATCCGCTTTAGTGTCTTTGGCCTTTTTGCCCCTTTGGCAGGAATAGAGTAACAGAGTCACCGGCAGAGTCATTGAGCAGGCGTGGCCGCCTTTCCCAGGTGGTTCTCGTCCAGGACAGGCTCATCTTTTGCACCTGGAGAGCAGGTGACCAGGGTAACCTCCGCAGTTCTGGTGTGGAGCTTGGGTTGTCACCATTTCTCATCACCATGGAGCTCTCTGGCCCCACCTTTTCTGCACATTAAAAAAGTCAGATGATCACTGCAGTGTTCAAAGCCATGTTCGTGATCCCTGGAACACGCTCTCCCGGAGAGCACAAGGTTCAAATCCCTCAGTATGTGGCAATGACACATCACCAAGAAGTTTAAAACCATCAAAAGCAGGGATTCAAACAAAATCGTGGACAAATTCTTCTAGCAGAATTGTTCATGGTAGCCAAAGGGGGAAATAACCCAAATGTTCATTAGGGAATAAACGGAGAGGCAGGAAAGGGATCTGTCCACACAGTGGGGTGTTGTTCCACCACAGAAAGAGGAAGAGCTCTTGCACGTGGTCACGGGGCTGAGCCCTAAGCACAGTACGAGAAGAACAAGGAAACCAGACACAAAAAGCGTGGCCTGATGCCGAGTGTGTGAAGCACCCAGGGTGGGGGGATCGCAGGCACAGGGTGCGATGCCAGGGGCTGGAGGGGATATGCAGGGGAGCTGTGCAGCGGGTTCTCCTCCTTCCACAGACTGGAAAGTGATGGGGAACCAGGTGGAGAGGTGGTGCACAGCCTGGGGAATGTGCTAAGTGGCCTTGAAGCACTCTGCAAACAAGACGGTTTGTTCAGTTGCCCTTAATTCTGGCCGACTTTTTCATTTGTTGAAATAATTTTCTGCAATTTTATTTCAATTAAAAAGTCAATGCACAAAACAAGTTCACGATATCTTCCAGCAAATACGTAACTGCAGTTTCATATGAAAAAATAAAAGAACAATTTCAAGTTTACCCAAGCAGTACTCTTCCAAGCTGTCAAAAGTGAGGAGAGATTGAGAAGCTGCTGTAGGAGGGAGGAGGGAGAGGAGAGGGAACTGGGAGGGGACAGGCCGGGGCCTTGTTCTGCTGGGCCCACCTTGCCCTGGACGCCAACCTGGCCAGAGCAAGGGGCAAAGTGGGAATAAGGACGCGATCTCAGCAGTGTGCACTGGAGCTCACACTCACGTTCAAGTCCTCCTCTGTCAAGGCCCCTGTCAGTGAGCTGCTCACCTTAAGGGCAGCTGAGTAGAAAGGACTTGAGGACTTCCTGTCACATCTTTGCAACTCAGCCAAGGTCACATCTCAACATGAAAAATTTAAGCTAATAAAATAATTAGACTGAGATTGTTCTCTTTCTTCCCTTTGTCCCCCCACCCCCAATTTGGTCCTGCAGATTCAACCCAGGGATTCTCACATGCTGGGCAAGCATCCTTCCACTGAATCTTAGGAAGTCCATTTAAAAAATCACTAAAACAATTACCTAGAAAATCAGCTTATTTTATCTAAATTTTTGAGATGCTGGAGTCACCCATCCATTCAGCTGGAGGAGTTGTTTATTTGTGTTTCATCTGACATGGTAGGAGTTTTAGCCCCATCTTTTGGCAGAGGAGCTGGGGAGGTAGAGGTGTGTCACCAGGTCCTGCCTGCAGTGACGTGGCCCTTTGGACCTGCCCTGCAGCCTACAGTGGTCTAGCCAAGGCGCCACTGGGATCCAGTCCCCCTGCAGAAGCCTCCTGTGAGTACATATGTGGAGAGTGACAAGATCCCACCCCAGGATGTGGAAACTCAGTCACAGCCCCAGGCCCTACCTCCAGAGGCCATCAGATTGAAAGCTGGGGCTCAACACACAGGTTGCATGAGCACAGTTCCAACCATAGCAGGAGGACTTATTTGCATGCCTATGTATGGCGAGCCATTATGGTGAGCCTTGACACAGGCCTAGCCATGATTGAACTTTGAGTCACCTCGCTGGCACGGATGTGCTACCTCGCTGGCGGATGTGCTCTCACCCATAGCCACGGGCGAGTTCAGCTGGTGGCAGATGTAGCCCATAATGGTTGTTGTTGTTTCCCTCTGGAATGTGTGGGCGGTACCCTCGCTCCCTCGCTCCCGTGCAGCCCTCGCTCCCATACAGCTGGAGAGTATAAAAGGGAGAGGTTCTGTAATAAAACAAGCAAGGAACTTGAGAAGAAAGGTGCCTTCCGTCTGTCTGTCCTCGTCCTTTCAGGTTTAGGACCTGCTGGCAGGATCCTGACGTCGCGGCTCGCGACACCTATGGCCACTGGTTTCCATCCACTGGTAAGTGGACAGATTTACAGAATTGAGGGAGGGAGATCGGGGAGGTTGCTGCCATGTGGCCACACTTGGCTAAGCACAGGTGCTGCGGTGGTTGGTGACCACGTGTTTCCCACAACATCTTGTGGCTCTGGAGGGCAAGTCACGAATTTACCTTTGGGGTCTTCACCTGTTCTCAAAACCTCAGAGCGCTCGACCACATTAAACAGAAGCAGAAAACTCACTGTCAGGAGTGAGCTTCAATATCAGATCTGCACACCAATCGAGATCAGTGTTTGGATTAAGTTAAACTGCAGGTCAAGTAGAGCCAGGTTAGAGGATTGAACGCACCTGAATGTCAAAGGCATGCGCTCCAGTGGTGCAGCTGGGGGCAGCATTGGTACAGTAAAAGCTGCTGATGCAGCGCAGGTGGCTGGAAGACAGAGCAGGTGCAGGGCAGGTGTGGGAGCCCCAGAGGAGGGGCGGGAGCGCTCCAGAGCAGCTGCCGGAAGTGGGTGGTGCAGGGTCTGAGGGACCAAGAGCAGAGAAGGGGACGAGGAAGACGCGGAGATGGAGAGCTCCAGAGCAGCACCAGCGGAGGCCTCGGGAAGAAACGCAGACTGACAATGTCTTTCTGTACACAGGAAGTGCAATCGAAAAGTACGGTGAATGTTTCAGTGCCCCCCCTTAATATTATTACAGTAAAATAAATATTGCCGCTGACTCCTCAGCCCCCCCCCCACACACACTGTGAGCACACTTATTTATCCCAGTATTCTTGCAACTTTCCGGAGCAGTTCGGGCAGTCTCCTCCCGTCCGTGTCTTTCGTGGCTGCACTGCTGTCCTAAATGAGTTCATGGTCACTCTGAACCGGAGAAGAGCCAGAAATCACCCGGTGCCAGATCTGGCGACCCAGGTGGATGGGGATGCACGGGGGGTTTTCCTGGGGCCACCTTTCCTCTGGGTGGCCCTCAGCAGTGGCATTCACTGTACCTTAGACACCCAGGTGGACGGCAAGGACAAAGGGGTCAGTGTATCTGAGGTGAGGGGGTCTCGGGGTGCTAATGGCCGTGTGTCTTCCCTGTAAGGAAGTTTTACCTTTTCACTGTTTATCCTGCTCACCCTTGTTCATCTGGCTGCACCTCCATGTGTCACACAGCTTTCCAGGGCCTGGGCCCATGACCTCTGTTGCATCTCGACAGAGCCTCAGAGCTGGGCAGGGGCTCAAAGCCCAGGCCTCTGTCCCGACATCCTGCTCCACTCTCACACTGAGCTCTGGAGGAGGCTGAGAGCTGGGACACCGGCTTTAGTCCCCTCAGGGCTCCAGCTGGTTTTAGGGCAACAGCGCAAACCTGAGGAGGAGGCAGGCGGTGACCAGACAGGAAAGTCATCTGCCTCACAGGGACCAGGCAGCTCTGACGCCCCTGCCTTGTCTTCATTCTTGCTCCAGCCCAAACTCTGCCCCAGCCTGGGCTGCTCGGGAAGCCCGGAGAAGCGGGCCCTTTTCCATGTGGTTGTCATTTAGCACAA